GGAAATGCATAAATATCCGCGTGATAATTTTCGTAGACCAGCATTGTTACCGAAGACTGAGCGAGGCCGAGGAAATCGAAATCCTCCATTGTTAATGGTGAAACCTATCAAACGTTACGAAGATGACCGCGTTCAGAACTTCCGCAATGATGTTAAGGTATGATTGAATTATGATTATTGCAAGGTTGTTTACTGTATTCACAAGATCGCGCCGCTAGTCCCACTTCAGAGCCTATCCTATCCTGTTTATTTAACGTGCATTTTAATATTAACCTTCGCTCTCCCCTACAGGTTTTCTAATTTAACATTTGCGTACATTTGTCTCCCGTTCGCGCTACATGTCCTGACCATCTTATCTTGATTTGGCGCTGCTGAAGAAAACAGTTATGCTGTGATGTGTCTTATTACATCTATGGGTCTCTCTTAAGCGTTTTCTGACTTCTTACCCTTATTTCCAAATATGTTGTCCTCAAACGCCCCTAAAAGAGATATTTTAGAGTCAATGTCATTTGGACCATGTTTTCCCCAAGCGAACACGCACCAACAATACGCCCAAATATTTCCTGTTGATGATGGAGGGGGAACAGGACATTCGCCCGTCTCCTGAGACCCATTGTGACTTTTCGCACAATGGGATTCGCGTGCTTTAACATGCAATACGTACAATGTCTAATTACCAGAGGCTGTGAGAACGCGTGTTGCTCCTTACTTACAGTCGCCGCTCGCCAAATGCCTACTCTTTTCCAGTTTTGTCAGCTGCTTTGTTCGACTTCATGTATCCTCGGTTCCTAATTTGTATATACACGGGAACGTCGAAGAATGAATGGATACCATTGCCAGGCGTCTAATATCGTCCATATTTTTTAAATATGATTGTTGAATGTTCGCATTTTGCACAACTGCCGTGGGCAGCGGCCTAGCAACGAGGATGTCCTTGACTCTGTAGTATCGCTGTGGAGTTTGGGAGAAAGTGTTACAGTCGGGGGGGGGGGGCAGCTTCTGATCGCCGTAGTGCGTAGTTACTGGGTTTCTTTTCAGCAGTATTATTCATCAAAGGCCGCGTTTTTAAATCGAGGATCCAGGGTTCAGCGCAGTTTATCGCTCTGTCGAAATGATACATCGCCTACCTTACATTACATTACTTTACATTACATTCAGCTACCACAGAGCCATCTTAAGCGTAACGAAGTCAAGTTAAATATGCAATGTCTTAATCAAACTTTACTCAGTTGTAAAGCATGTATAAAGGAAATATTTAGAATAAAGCCAATATATAAACTTCCTTTCCGTATAGACATATTTACGTCAAATTCTCCGGAACCGTGGTTCCACTGTCACCTTTTGTTTACCAGAACAATTATAGGCGCTGCTTTGGAAAACAGATTAAAATATTTAAATAACTTATTTGCTGCTCGTCACAGATTCGTTCCTCGTTACTCCTTCCGCATTTTCAATGCGTTTCAGCGTTTTCAGCTGTTTGTCCAACTCAAGACACCATCTGCTACGAAAAACCCCTCCCCCTCGGGTTGTGTACAGTCGTGATTCTGGCCATCGTAACAGACGTCATACAAATTGACCACGGAGCAGATTCCTTCTTCAGAAACTCGTAGTCGCTGAGCTAGTCTAGTAGGAGCGAAGTCTGGTAGAAGTTTACCATCGCCCTGACGAAGGCACCAGCAAGAACCTCCGAAACTTCGGTCAAGAAGACAGGAAAATAGTTACAACTGTAAGCTCTGGATTTCGATACGTGATACTGGAGTTATTTAATTACGCTGCTACAACTACAGAGGTTACTTAGCGTAAAGGTTGTTACGATTGGTGATGAGGTTAGATTATTGCGTTTGTGTCTGAGGAAAACAAAGATTTCACACTGGCAAGTGATTCGAACGATATGCCTCTCGAGTTACCGCTACACTAACCTGCTCGATACACTTGGAAGAGTTTGCGTGGAACGGAAACCGACTGGAAATGAATTGTGGGAAATAAAAGTTGGGTTGCTTAATCTTTTGTTAGTTGCACGCAGACATAAGACAGTCAGTCACTTGGAGACCGCCTTCGTGCGTCGCCCTGTCTTCCAAACGAAAGTGAAGGCAGTACAGTCTTGTAACAGTTGTGGAACCTCGAGACGCTGCCATTGACCTCAGAGCGACTTCATTGTCCGCGAGGTTTATGTCAGAGAGGGGAGGAAAGCTTACCTTCCTCTCCTCCCGCCCCCCCACCCCCCGTAACGCTGTATCGTCCATGTGTTTACGCAGTCAGCGTGTCTGTCTCTGTCTGTCTTCGGTTTTGTTCAGCCCCAGGCGGACTAGGGCACCCATTTTCTGTTGTCCTGTGCCCAGGGAAGGAGGGCGCAGCCCATTTATTAATTAACACTACGATTTAAATGTATCTATAGATATCTTTTCCTTCGGTAGTCGTACAACCTCTCGATAATATCGCAGTGCGATGTTTATTTTAACTTTTGCTCGGTTTTCAATACTCACGATGACAATATTTGCATAAGAGTTGATATCTTATTATTTTCTATAAAATCGTTTACGTAATGCGTGTCGAAAGTATTTATGAAACGTCTTGTATGTAATCGGTTCATTCGTTGATACAGGGAGTTTAATTAAAATTGTCGAAATATCTCAGTTTTCGTTACACGAAGACCTACGCACTTGAAGTGGTTAGGAGGGGAATCCCCCATTCGGGGAATCTCAGGGCATTCAGAAATGTCCTAGATCAGATTCTGGTGGCCGCTTACATCGCCCAACTTGTCCGTGAGGAAGTAAAATGGAAAGGAATTTGTGTTCGTGTTGTAAATATTCCGTGGTTTTTTATTTCTTCGTGCGATATGGCAGGAGGGACGACAGTTTCACGTAAAGAATCTGGCTTTGCTCGCAGTTGAACTCGGCGCACTCTTTGTGTCAACAATGAAACCTTCTGGATGCG